TATGGTGGTTTTGATAGTGGTCGACAGTAGATGTTTCAATACTAGAATGATGGTTTTGATAATGGTCGACAATAGATGTTTTAATACTAGAATGGTGGTTTTGATAGTGGTCGACAGTAGATGTTTCAATACTATTATGGTGGTTTTGATAGTGGTCGACAGTAGATGTTTCAATACTAGAATGATGGTTTTGATAATGGTCGACAGTAGATGTTTCAATACTAGAATGATGGTTTTGATGGTGGTCGACAACAGATATTTCCATACTAGGATGATGATTTTGATAGTGGTCGACAATAGATGTTTCAATACTAGAACGGTGGTTTTGATGGTGTTCGACAACAGATATTTCCATACTAGGATGATGATTTTGATGGTGGTCGACAATAGATGTTTCAATACTAGAATGGTGGTTTTGATGGTGGTCGACAACAGATATTTCCATACTAGGATGATGATTTTGATAGTGGTCGACAGTAGATGTTTCAATACTATTATGATGGTTTTGATAGTGGTCGACAGTAGATGTTTCAATACTAGAACGGTGGTTTTGATAGTGGTCGACAGTAGATGTTTCAATACTAGAATGGTGGTTTTGATGGTGGTCGACAGTAGATGTTTCAGTACTAGAATGGTGGTTTTGATGGTGGTCGACAACAGATATTTCCATACTAGGATGATGATTTTGATAGTGGTCGACAATAGATCCGTGTAGTTATTCAAGTGGTATACATACCATGGCTGGTTAAGATTAAAAATCAATCTGTGTAGTTATTTTCTCATACAGATCATGTCTGGTTATGATTGAAAATCAATCTTTGTATTTATTTTCTTATACAAACCATGGCTGTTTAAGATTGAAAATCGATATTGTAATTATTCTCTTGGATTACAGATGAAAGCTGATTTGGAATGAAAATCTATTTGTGTAATTATTTTTTGTACTAAATGGTTAGGATTCAAAATCTATCTTTCTGGTTATTCTCGCGATATTCTTGGAGCCGAAGTTTTCTTAACTGTGACTGAAAAAAACTTGAAAAAAATGCCATCAGAAAAAATCAAAACCATCTGTCCTATATCGTTTTTTGTTTCCATATTCAGAAATTCTAATCACAACATCCAAAACATTTGAGGCTACCTTATATTGTTGGACAAGAACTATTTACGTGGTGAGAAGTCGTTCAAGAAGTCAGCTGTCTCTCTACTTCTCCATGATAGGTTGTAACTATTTCTCACTAAGAAAATATATATCAATAATTTTGAAGTCCTTTTTGGCGTGGCTAAATATGAAGGATGTTGACGAGGTTGTTAGAAACCCTTCTTTGAGCTGGCCTTTTATTTTGTTATCGCTAAAATCAATGGTCAGAAACCCCTATCTTTGATATGGTTTTTACTTAGTTTCAAACTGAAAGCTACTTGATGAAATGGTTACAGGAAATTCTGAAGCCCTTTTACTTCTATGAAATTTACTTAGTTGAAACTGAATGTTACTTGTGAAATGCTGATAGTAAGATATTTACCATTTCCTCACCAAATGAAATGTCAACTATTACTAAATATTATAAATTAGAGTAATATTATGAAAACTATTTCTTCATCACTGAAAAAATCAGGATTTTTACACCTACAAAAAAAATATAGTTATTCAACTTTTTCTACATAACACTAATGAAGACTGTTTCAGCAATGAGAGAATTTTAAAGAAACACATTGAAAGATGGGTTATAAAGTTGTTAAATGTAAATGTAATCACTGAAAAATGTTTAATCCCAAAACACCATGAACTAGACCAGTCTCTCTTCTGTTGCTTTCAATTGTCTCATGCATTTCGAAGCAAAAACAAAAACTATTAAAGAATACAATATCTATTATATCACCAGATTTGGCATTATACTTAGAAGTAAGCTATCCTGCATTTTGTCCAACAAACTCCCAAAATTTTAAATTAAAGGTTAAATGAATAAAATACATAGTAAACCACATACATGGTTCTATATTATAGAAGAAATAAACACAAGATTCTTAAACGTTTGATCAAATCTGATGTAATGTCTAAAGAGCCGATGAAGTATAAGCCAAATAATAAAACAAACAACCTTACAACATAGACTCACCCGCTTAGCACTCCTGTATCTTCCTGAGTGTATTCTAAACCATGTGACCAAGTTCTCGTAAGGAAGAGAAAGTACGTACGTGTATAGAAGTTTCGAGCTAACTCTACCTTTACGCTGTAGTGATTGGCTTTTCTAAATTGTAATGATGACCTAGAGGGCGTTCTCAACAGTAAACACGTTAGCTGGACAGTTTTGTTTGAAATTAAGCACAAAGCTACACAATGGGCTATCTGTGCTCTGCCTACAAAGTTATAAAATGTTATTATTAGTAACCACAGAAATACGAAAGTTATAAATTATTCTTACGCAACATATAGATGCCTGGGAACTTTATCTACATGCACTTTTGCAAAGTTACAACGCTAAAATTTGCAGTTTTAATCCCAGCGATGAACATAAGACAGACAGAGCATTGTGCAGATTTGCTCTATAAAGAAACAAATAATATATTTTCTTTGGAATTAACGAGCTACAAAGCTCGATAATGCCACTTACTGATTAAATCTCTGTTGTTCATGATATATGAATGTCTACACACTTCTAATGATTCAAGGTGACCAAGTGTATTAAGAGATTGAAAAGTTTCTTTGTTTTGGTTTAATGTCTGAGAATATTGTTACGTCTCTGTTTGTTAATTAATTTTCCGTAACTTCGTTCCGACGAAACTTTAGCGACA